CTTCTTTGACTAGTGATTTTATTTAGTAATACCTGATGTTATATCTTCAATTTCTACTATGATAGTTAAATTAATTAGAAAAAAGTTATTTATTGTATTGTCTGAAATACTGATATCTGAAGTTGTATGAATATCAATGCCAGAAGTTGAATTATTATTTGAAACTCAAATCAGAAATGATATTGAAAAAGGTTAGAATTAAATTATTGCTGAATTATTAAAATTTATCTTTATTAATTAACTGATTTATTTAAAAAATAAAGAATTGTATATGTGGATTAAAAAACTAGAAAGAGAAAATATTTAATTTGTAAAATAATTAAATCTAATGGAATATATTAATAACAAGTTTTTCAAAGAAATCAAAATAACTAAAAAATAAAATAGAAAATTTAAAAAAGAAAATTAATCAATTCAAATCTAAGAAATCCGAATTTAATTCTATATAGTTGTGGATTTTAGAGTAGCCTAGATATCAAAATCTGAAAGTTTGTTAAGTTTAGTAATGTATCAAAAAATTCAATCTAGAAAAAGTAGTAAAAAGTTAAAATTGATAAAACCACTTATCAAAGAAGAGCTGAAACTAGAAAAAGAGAGAGCAGAAATAAAAACCATATTTGATGAATATAAACTGAGGATAGTTGAGTGATATTAATAAAAAAATATTATAAAAGTTGATATTTAAATTAATAAAATTTATAGTCATATACAGTATATTAATCCTTCACAAAAGCAAATAAATGAATGGTTAAATGCTTTACATTATTATTAGAGAGAAAGATATTGAAAGGCAAAAATTGAAAAATTGGAAGTAGACAATTGTGCTTACATGCAAATAGTCAATTAAACAAAGCAAGATTAATAATATTTTGCATTTATATTACCTTTAAGTATTATTTTTTAATGAATAATTAAGAAAAGGATATAAAGAATTAAAAGCACATAGTCACTTATTGAACAAAGGTTTAAGAAAGTTGTCAAATATTAGAATTAATTAATTGATGGAATTAAAGAAACAAAAGTTTATTTATTTGGAAAAAGTGAAATTGATTCAGAAAATCTTATCAAAAGAAGAATAAATGTACTGTATATGATTATAATTGGCATTCTAAAGAAATATTTTTTGGCAAAATATTATATGTTAAATAATTACAATATTAATTATAATTACTTATAATCAAAGAATTTGTTGAAATATTTAAATGAATATTTGAAATTAATTTAAGTATTCCAACTAACTCATAAATAATATCATAATGATTAATATTTCTATAATGTGATATCACAAAAAGATTTGTTAAATTGAATATATAAGTTAAAAGAAATTTTACAATATAAACAAGAAAAATAGATAGGAAAAGATAAATAATTGACAATTAAATTCAAAAGATAAAAAATTACTAAATATAAGTAATTATTAATATATTTAAAGAATAAGAAACAAATTGGAAAAGGTATACAAATAAATAAAATTTGAGAATGGTTAAGAAGTTAAAAGAAAAATGTAAAAAATATCAAAAAATATTTGATAAGATAAATTAATTGAACTAGTTTTAAAAAAGTCAAGTTGAAATCTTTAAAAAAAAAAAAAAGCAAATGAAAAAAAAGAAAGAAAAAGAAGAAGAGAAAAAGGAAAGTGACAAATAATTTAATCAATTGATTTTATAATTTTTTGTAATTTTTTATAAATTTTGTGAAATTTGTTAAACTTTTTAAATATTTATCAAATTTTAATATTGGATTTATAACTTTTGCCAAATTTTTTATTACAATATATAATTTTTTTGTTAAATTTTTTGCTGCAATAATTTTTTTGTCAAATTTTTTATTACAGTATCAATTTTTTTATCAAATTTTTTATCACAATATGCAAAAAATTTTTTTCATAATATGTAAAAAAAATTTTTTATTGTAATATTATTAAATTTTGTATTGAATTTTTTTACTATAGTATATTAAAATTTTTTTGTCAATTTTTTGCTGATATTTTTAATGTCAAGTAGTACAATAAAAAATTATTCATCAATGTTTTTATTATTATATTTTATCAAATTCAGCAATATAATTTTGATTGGTGTAGCTAATAATATATAAATAGGAGTTAAGTTATTATATTAAAATCTATATAATATAATAGATATTTCAATAAAGATATGCTATAATAATATGATTAAAAATCAAATATACTATATATATATATTAAACTTTATTTAATTAAAGTAATAAGAAAAAAAGATCCTAGTTTAAACAAAATAGTGCCTTGTTATTATTTAAAGACTTAAATTATTTGATTTTAATAATTTTATAAAATCTATTTATGCTAGATTGATTTTATTTAAAAGAATAAAGAATAAAAGGTTGATTGTTCTTTTTTATTTATCAATTATATTATTGAAATATATAAATATGATCAATAAGAGCTTGCTTGTTTGTTTTTTTATATCCTTATATCTTGAGCCAATCAATTATCTTTATCAGGATTTGTACGATTCAAAAATTTAGAATCTAAAGTATGCAAAAATTTTTATAAAACCATAAAAGTAAAAGCTCTAATATATTTTAGTATGATAATTGATAAAAAATTTACAGTAATTTTAAAGTTTGACATTACTGTATTTATTTTCAGAAAAATCTGTTTTTTATATATGAAAATAGATTAAAGTTGTATGTACAGTATGCAGTATAATAATTTAGTAAATTTTTATTACGGAGTATCTTGAATTTGATGAAATGGGGTAAGGCTATTTGCTTGTCTAATGTGTCACTTGTTTTGTATCACTTATGCAGGTGAAGTTGCAGTTTTTAGGTACTATAATATAATGCAGGCTTCTTAAAATAGAGTCAAAAGAAAACAGGAATTATTCCATTAAAAAAAGTGTAATAGGTCACAATTCGGGTAACAACTATGCTATTTGCTTTTGTTTCAATTTTTGGTAACAAATACATAGTTGAGATCGTCGGTTATTCTGATTTACACATATAATCGTTCAAATCCACCTTTTTTTAAAAAAAAAAAAGGAACAAAAATGGACGCACTTGATTTTGCTGATTGTGGAAATGCTTTCGGAGAGGCCATAGAATTCCGAGAGGGAAATCCTATAAAACTTCTGAGCTATGATCAAACGAACAATGAAATTATTTTAAATGGGAAAGCACTTGACGTCATAAAACAAATTAGCGAACCTGTAGCCGTCATTTCCATAGGTATTGCACATTATGCACAAGATTATATCTATACAATGCACGAATTTGGTTATGCTGATATCATTAAACTTCGCTTTAGTCGGTTCGTTTCGCCGAGGCAAATCTTGGTTTGCCAATGTTCTTCACGGTCGACACGACGGTTTCGAACTTGGAGCTGAATTGGACGGATGTACCAGGGGCATATACATGTGGGACACCCCATTTCTACATGAGGGCAAATGTGTGATCGTGCTAGATTGCGAGGGAATAGATGAACCTCGTCAAGATCAGGAGTGGGCCACGAAGTTATTTATATTATGTATGGCCGTTTCCTCCTCGTTTGTATATAACATCAATGGAATCGTAGGAAATTCAGATATTGGAAAGTTATTCCTAATGACGGATCTCTCAAAATACATCACCCAACCCAGGGGTTGCAAATTTTTACCAAGATTGGTGGTGTTGCTAAGGGATTTCATGTTGAAAAACCCGGATGACTTTCGGGAGTATTTCTTGAAAAGATTGGACGAAGCTAATTCTGAAGGTACGAGTAAATTGTAAAAAAGAAAATAAAATACAATTGCCTTGAAGCCTAAATGAAATCACATCATGTATAGCTGCGAACGGTGTAAGAGAGTATTTTGCGAATTTCGACGTTTATGGATTACCTGTGCGTATCTTTTTTTTTGTAGTTTTTAAGACAATAATTATGCATCCTTCATTCGTAACGTTTTTGTGTCACCATATAATATAGTTTCCAGGAGTTCAAAAGGAAAAACTGCAGTGTATGGACAAGGTCAAGACGGAAGAATTAAATAAAGAGTTTGTCTCCGAAGTTATTCATTCGGTGAACGGGATCCTCGCAAGTGTCGAGCCAAAATATATTGGCGCTTCGTCCATGTCCGGTGTGATGTTTTCGGAATTCCTTGTGGGGTGTGTTGGGGAATTAAATGATCCTGAAAATAAAGTTAAACTCTCAATTCCCGATGAATACGATTCTGTGGTCAAATATGTCGCTCAAAAATCAATCAAGGGATGCAAAAAAATCTATGCATCTACCATGGAGAGAGAAATTGACACTCTCAAAATGCCAATCCAATGGTCGGAATTTAGTTCGATCCACTCCGAGGCATTCAACGAGTCGGAAACCGAATTTTCGAAAAGTATAATCGGCTCTGGACCTCAGATAGTTAAATTTCAACTAGAGCTTCAGGAAGGGATAGAGGAACTGAGGGAGTCTTTTTATAAAAAAAATTCTGAGGCACTATATAATTATAACAATCAGTTGGCTGAAAATTTGTGGGAACTCCACGTCACAAAGGGTCTTCTTACTCCAGATAACCTATTTCCGGTGAGCATACATTTTTATTTGCACATCAGTACCCGTTGACTTTAGCTTATGTACAATACATCTTTCTTTAACTATACACACGGAAATAGAGTAAAGATGAATTCGAAGATGCGATTGGCATATTCGAAATCGAGATGGACAGCTTGATGATGCCAAGTCCCGAATTTTCCAAGGTGATGGCCAACTTTAAATCCAAAAATTATAAAGATGCCGTTGACAAGTTGGAATCTTTGGGCGTGTTACAATCGAGTCTTGCTGGAGAGATGCGTCGAAACCAGGAAGCGCAACAAAAAATCCTTGAATTCGCTGCTCAGGAGAATGAGATGGTGACGAAACTGGAAGAGATGAAACGCGAACGCGAGGAAATGGTGCGACAAATTGAGAAAAAGATGGATGAAATGAATGACGCATTACGAAAACAGGAAATTCGGAGCAACGCGATCCTGGAAGAAATGAGAGAGGAAAAGGATATGGCGATTTTGACGTTGAGGAATGCAAAGGAAAATACGATAGTACAACGAGAAAAAGATCTTGAGAATCTGAGGAAGGATAAAAGCGAATGGCAGGATATTCTGAAAACTCTGGTTCCGGTTATTCAGGTCGGATTAAAGGTTTTGGGCGCAATTTTTCTGAAGTTGCTCATCTGATTTTATACTTCTTTGTAAAGTATTTTTTTTCATCAATTATCTCGACAAGCACTGTATATATATCTATATATTTTTGATCCTCTGTCAGGCTAGTTATGTGTGCTTTATTAAACATCTGTAACTGTATATATGAAATGTGACGCTAAAGCTAAATCTATAACTCACCCACTCGTCTTGATTATTACCAATCTAAGCGTAACTTCGGAAGTGATTTATCGCTTCATTAGCAGTTACTGTATATGTGTATATACTGTATAAAACAAACACGCATAATTCATCACTAGAGTTTACTGTATATTCGCTGGTATAGTATATTGAGATTTCCCTGCAACAAGTTTTTCGATACTATTTTTTGAAAACCACAAAAATGTTATAACCGATTTCTAGGAGTACAATTATAAAGTCAGAAAAATTCCTGTCCGCCTTTGAGAATAATTATCCATGTAATTCTCGAATTTTTTTATTTAATATCTATTTTATATACTGTTCTATAGATATTATGGTAACGGGATCGCAAAGCGTTTAAAGTTTTAACTTTATTCGACGAGACTCAATCCTCGAAGATGCTCTGTCGTAACAATACGCGAGTCTTCACAACGTTACTTTTGTTGTTGGATAAATTTATTGGGATCCGTGTTTTTCATATAGCAAAACCTGTAGTTATTAAGTACGTATCGAAACAAATTGAAAAGTTTACCGCAGAAGTCCATATAGTTATTAACGTGAAATGGGTAAAGGAACTTTTGTCACCCTCGTTGCTTAAATTGAATTTAGCCTATATTTTCGAGCACCGTATATGAAAAAAATTTTTTTTTTTTTTTTTTTAAATAGGCTTATTTGCCTTCAACAATTGACACAAAGTATAATTGTTAAATAAAAATAAAAAAAAAATAAAACACAAATTAAAAAATAATTTATTTCGAATAACAAGTAAAACTCGAAAATGCTTGACTTTAATCTGCAATTTGAATATTAAATAAATAACTTTTACAGATTATTACAATCCAATATTTAAAATCTTTTATAAATATGAATATAAATAAAATACAGTATATACTGTACTGTAACTATTCTTTTTTAAAAAACTTTCATTGGATATTATATGAGCAAGAATTTACTGTCATTGAATTTTTCAAATTTGAAATAGATTTCAAAGTTTTATATAATTTAAATACACACTGTAAATGTATATTCAAGTTCTAACATAAGCTATTAAATTAAAGTATACAACTAAAAAGATTAGCTCCGATCACTTTAATCTATATTTTTCTTAAATCGTACATTAAGCTCAATGTCAAATCTATCACCTCAAATGCAGATAATTTTTCAAGCATCTAGTTCTAATTTCTCCAACACCTTATCAATTCTTTCCAGTGTTTCATTATACTCCACCTCCCATGAAAAAAATTCATCTCCCTCATATTCCATCATCACTCTCCCACTTTTCCCGTCAATATCATCCTCAAATACACCGTACTTTTTAGATAACCAATATCTAATATCATCTATCAATGGTATGGTGTCGGTTTCTTGACGATGCTTAATACTTTCCGCCGATTCTTTAACCAATTCCAGGAATTGCCGTTCTTCCAACACTTCATTAATATGGTCAGCAAACCAACGTGAACACCAAGATTCCAATCGTTCAACATTTAGATCTATAGCTGTTCGCATTAATGTATATATATTCATGGTTGGTTCCTTGAGATTGGTGAGCGATATGGATGCAAGAGATTTTAACTTATCCAATAGATACATGTCGGAAAATATGAGTACGTCATATGCGATGGAAGGGGGAATCTCACATTTATCGGTGTAAATAAATTCAAGGATTAAAATAAACATTTCTGGAGTGCAACCTGACAACTTAAATACCGGTAAACTTTTGTCATCCTGCTGACGGTGACTAATAGATTCGGCGAATGGACCCGTGAACAGGGCTTTAAAATAATCGGAACGTCTGGTAATAAATGCTCTGTGACAGGGAAATTTTTCGTCGTCGACATCAATGATGAAGTCGGCTTGTGCATATTCGTATGCGCTCAGCGAAGTTCTTGTTGTTTGATCTTCATTAAAATATTGTTGGTCCCGGATGATACGAGTTCTAAAGAAATGTTCTAAATCCTCTTGTAACTTCTGGATTTCTAATTTATCATACTCTTGCGCCCTTCTAGCGGAGGATGTGTCAAAATATGCCGCAAAAACACCTAAATCGAGTTCATTACCTAGTTCCACCATTGCCCGCGTAAGACCTGCCGGAACCTTTCCAACTTCCCCTGTATACAAATATCTTAAGATTTCCCGAAAACACAAAGGATCACGTTGAATTGTTATAACTTTGGATGTACGCCAAGTAGTTTCTAATCGTTCGGCAAAATATTTTGAACGTGCACAAAGAATACACCGGTGTGCCGCGAACTCGCGAGTTTGTGAAGGGTCATTGGAAACTAGTCTAAATATCACATCGTAAAATGAGTCCAAGGGTTGTTCAAATAGTTGAAGTAAAAAGTGCCGATATGGTTGAGTTTCATCTACGGCTTTGGTGAATTTGTAGCTAAGCAATAGTTCCTTTATCTTTGGAGTTAGTGCACCATAAAGACAACTAAAAAATGAAAATCAATAAGTTAAACATGAGTTAAGTTGCCTTCCCAAAACTACTAAAAATCTTTCAACAAACCGTGCGCCTTCAAAAGTGTCCTGTTCGCATCTAGCACCATTTTCCAGTAAAAACTCCACCACTAGAAGATGTCGTAATATTAAATGAAGGTGGGTAAGAAATGATCGTGAAATTTTTTTTTTTTTAAAAAAAAAAAGCAGTAGGTTACCTGTATAATGCCCACTTCAATTAAAGGAAAAGATCGTTAATGTCAAAATTCGTTATCTTTTCTAATCTAATGAGAAATTAAATAGTATACCACAAGCAAGCCAAATACAATGGTGAGCATTGCCACACATCGGTTTGATTAATTGGAGTAGAAAAATTTCGCACTAAACTAATGAGGAAAAAAATGTATGAGCGTAATTGATCCCAGAAAGGACCGTATGATGCGCACCTGAAGTCATACCTTTCCACCTTTTCAAGATCTCCAGCACGACATGCCTGCAACAGGTTTTCAAAATTTTGGTCACTGCTTTGACCAGCGAGGGATGGATTAGAGCTCAACGTGGACTTAATGTCCATTAGCATAGGCTTGGTGCTCATCGAACCGCAAACTTAAAAGCACATCGTTCGAGCAACTAGGAAATATTTAACTGCGTGCCAATGGCGCGATGAATTGACGTGTCACGGCCTATTAAAAGGCAGAATCTTTAGTCACGTGTTTATATCACGTTGCCAAAATAAATTCATTATAGTCATATGGTATTAATCCAAAAATCCATCTGTGTATGCTATAAAATGGTAGTATTATTTATTTGCTATGGATATGTTAAAAAGTTTTTGTAGAAGCCTGTTGTCTTCTATAAGTTGGTTGCATAGTATTGTGAGTTTATCTTGTTCATAACCAATATATACTTGAATTAAAGAAGATTGAACTGTTTTGTTAGTGTTTATGTGTTTTATAATACATTGGGTACTATATGCTAATATCCGAATTTTTCAGTATGGATTATTATTTAATATGCTGAGACTTTTGTAATCATATATGACTAAAACTTGTTGAATTTGATGCTTTGTTCTGAAGAAGATACATTGTTATATTTGAGTGAGATCTTCATTAACTAAGTATTCACTACAAGGTTCTAGTAATAAGTTTCTTGCTATGCATTTGTAGTGTATATAAATTATCTTTTCTTATGTGTTTCTCTATTTTTTACTAATTGTTTCTATATTCTTATTCATTACTAAGGCCCAGTGCTTGAGTGTGGGATATATTATTATTTTATATTGGAGAAAGAGATTTCAAGTTTTTGTGAAGTTTAACATGTTCAGATCTATGAACTGTTATATAGTCATCATTATGTTTGTAAACCATTTAGAAGTGTGTGTAATGATATTTTGAGATATAATTTTAAGACAAAATTTTGATACAATCTTAATTTATTATTATTATTTTTTTTTTTTAAACCACAACTGATATTAGATGCGAGCACTTTTATTAAGAATTAACTTAACATCTTAGATAATGAAATCCTGGGCATCACATCAATTATCTCATACAAACTATATATTTTCTATATACATACAGATTAATGATAACCTATCGCAGTTTTCTCTAGGTGGACCCATCTTAATTTATTATTTAACAAATAAATAAAATATTGTATTTATGTAATTGTTTTCTAAAAGTGTTTATCCATTTTATACTAAAATACTCTTCTAAAGTATCTTCTATTTTTTTAATTAGGGTGATAGATTTAGAATATTGAATTGTTATATCAATTTATCTAATTAGTCAGATAAAGTTATGGATTAGATTTATGCCTGATTTGTATATTGTCTTATTTATATATGTATAAACTGGATTTGGTAATTAGAAATTGTTTTGTAGTTGTTGAAGTCTGAATAATGTTATCTGTCCTATAAAATTAAATTTGTTAATTCTAGAGATGAGGATTATAATATGAAATTATACTTGTCTCTTAAAAAAGTTGGTTATATTATATTCAAATTTTTTAAAAAATATATTATTTGGGACTGATCTTGTTAAACCTATTTTATATTTAAAGCATTGATAGCATTGTAATATGATTTATTGCACATCGCAAGTCAAAAAAAAAAAAAATTCTTTCTCGTTTACCTCCCGATTTTTGAAAATTTCTTTTTAAAGCAATTTTCTCTTTCTATACTTTTGGGTCTTCTTGTCAAAGAGTTTATATTCAATATGCCTCCAAAGACAATTTTATCAAGAAACAAACAGCAATAACAATACTTCAACAACAAAAACTCGTCAGAACAGTCACAAACAAACACTTCAGCTAACACTATGGACTTGGATGAAAAACAAACACCAGTCAAAAACACCTCCTTCTCCAAGTTGGCACTGTTACAAAACAACAACAATATTTTCAACAAAAAACAACAACAACCAACACAAAAACAACATAACAAACATGGCCAACACGTCATTCAACTACAACAATAATATAAACAACACACAAAATGCGTCAGTTCACACGTCAAACGCGTCTACTCCCTCTCAAAACAATATCACAAATCAAAACTCACCTACAAACGCGTCTAACATCCATGACACCCAAACATTAGAAGCCGAATACAACGGCACACCTTCAACACCAAGAGCTTTCAGACCAGAGGACACCCCAGCAGATGATTGGTTTGAAGAGGTTGAGTCTATTCAAAACCCACTCAATAACACCAGACCTAATGACACAATACCTAGGCCTGAAACTAGACCCACAGACTGGCAAACGGAATATGGCAGGAAAAGATACAAGATGTTCATCTCAATGGATGAAGTCTCCGGCAAAGATGAAAGCAACAAAGTCAAATTCCTCCAAAAACACCTCATCCGCTTTATTTCCCTCATCTCTATTAGAACACAACAGACACAAAACAACAAAAATATTATTGCACTATTTGGAGACAAAAAAGATGCAGATAGAGTACAAAATTTAGTCATTGATGAGAATACAACCTTACAAATGCAAGAAGCACCAGTCTATAACAGAATAGAAGCAAAAAACAAAATGATAAGAGCATGAGATATCCCACTCAACGTTTCACATGCAGATCTATGAGCAGCCTTCTCCAAATATGGCGAAATTAGATCTATTAAAATGCAAATAATCAGCATATGGCAATCAGCATGCATAGAATTTCAAAATCAACAGGACTACAACAAGATTAGCAAACGTTGGTCCATCCCATTTCAAGGAGACCTACTACGTATCTTCCCCTTCTTAAATACACACCAAATCAAAGAAGACAGAAACAAATTCATCCTAAAACTTATCAACCTCCCACCCAACACTACTGCTTGTGACCTCTCAGAACTCATTTTAGATATCAAAGCACAAACATGCTACATCCCACGCTCCATCAACTACAGAAGAAAACGCTTTGCAATCATGGGCTT